TTCCCAGTATTCACGCTTTTTCTTTCTACACATCTCTTTCACTTTTCGTTTGGCTTGTTCATATCTTTTCCTTGACTCTGTTGTTCTAGATACATCCATTTGTATTTTTGCTTTCTGTCTTTGTTCCAATTCCCGTTTACAGTCATCATCGAACCACTCTTTGTTTTTTCTAGTACCGTTTTTCTCATCATCTGTTGTGCTACATTAGTGATTATTGCTTGGATATGATTCCATTCCTGATTAATATCCTGCACAGCTGGTGTGTTTGCAGTCCTGTCGCTATTGATTGTTCAAGTTGCTGTCTAACTGACGTATCTTCTAGCGCTTTTGTTCGTACCTTTTGATTGTCTTCTGTCTCTCTAACTGTTTCTTCGGGATTTCTTGTTTTATAACAGCTACTACCATAAAGTGATCCGTATCACTATCTGCACCCACGGTAACTTCTAACATTGTGTATATTGCAGGCATGCTTGTTTCGATCAGTACGTGGTCAATTTGATTCGCAGTATTACCACCTTGTGAGATCCATGTTGTCTTGTGGATATCTTTCCTGTCAAAATAAGTTGCTCATTATCTTGAAATTTTGTTCAATTGCAAAGTTAATCAGGAGTTTGCCATTTTCATTTGAGAGTGGATGTTTGCTTTTCCCTCCTGTAACGTTTCGATAAGTGTCTTCACGCCCAACTCTTGCATTGCAGTCTCCTAATATTATTTTGATATCGTAATTTTGGTAGACCTATTTATCACGTCATCTAACTGTTGATAAAAGTCTGTTTTGATATCCATATCCTTGTCTTCACTTGGGGCATGTACATTGATCATTGTTACTTTCCTGTACTTTCCTCTCAGGCGTAGATAACACAATCTTTCCGATATAGGTTTAAATTCTACTATCGTGTCTTTTAGCTTTGCATTTTATTAGATTATCCTGTCCAAAAAGTCTATTTGCACCACCGCTATTACAAAATACGAAATTTTCGCACTGGATATTCCTGTTTCTTTAAGTTTCGTTTCTTGAAGAGCTAGAACGTGTACTTTATATACGGTCACTATGTTGACTAAGTTTTTCAGTGCACCTGCTTCGTAGATACTTCTGACATTCCAAGTTGCAATTCTAATTTGCTCTTCTTTAAATTTATACGTACTTAACGTCTTATTTCTTTCGTTATTTTTATTCATGTTCCTTACCTGTTCCATTGTCATAGCCACATTTCTGTCGTCTCCAAGATATCCTTTTCTCTAAACATAACTAATTTTTTTGAATCAATGTGTCTGGTTTCAACACCTGGTCTTTTTTATCCCATCTCCATTTTTCTCCACTGATCAGCAAGTTCATATAACCTATCTTGACTGTATTTCCTTTTGCTTTCTCCGTTTTAGCTCTGTGTCTTATATGCTTTTGAATCATCATCTCATTTTTTGTCAAATCACTGTTTATGTAGATTTTTGCGTTTTCAAATATTGCACCTTACCTTTGGCTTTCATGATCTTCATTTTAGCATCAAAACTCTTCAACTCCGCAATATAGAGGTTCTCTTTTATTTTTTGGCGGACTGAATATCTGCCTCTGGAGACAGTCTGGTTTTCAGAAGTTTTCTACTGATTGCTTTAAATCCTCGTTACCTCCTGTCCCTAGGTTTAAACCCGAGATCACTAATATTATTTTTTCTTCTACCTTTCTCTAGGAGCTCTATCCTTTGTTCTACTTCTTCCAACTGCTCAACCCTCTGTTTAAGCATACTGATTTCCTGCATCATGTCTTCGTTTCTTTGTTTAAGAATTGTATTTGTTCTTTAAGTAACCTCATTTCCTCACGATTTTCCTCCCGAAACCCTCTAAACTCCTCCATAAGACTTTTCATCATGTACCTTAATTTCTTCCATCTCCTTGTTAGTAACTCTTTTATTTCTATCTTTTGTCGGGGGTTCTTATTATCTTTTTACTTTTTTAAAGGCTTCTGTCTCTTGCTCTTCAATCCTCTTTCTTTTGCTTCCATCGTCTGTTGACTCTCAGTTGTGCTATCTTCACTCTGTCTAGAGCTGATACGGATGCCGACATCTACACTCTATTATCTCCGCCTATGCTTTTAGTCTTCTATTGTGTATATATGGCTGGTCTACGCTGATCCACGCAAGGCGCCGCAGGTACCGATTTCCCGGGTCGACCCCTCCGAGGAAAGATGGTACCGATCAGCTGTTGGCGATTCGAGATTTCTTATTTCAAGGTGCAATTGACACTTACCCCGCAGATCTTCGCTTTTTGTTTATTTCAAAGTGTCTCAGTTTAACTAATTCACGCTTGACACTACTTTTCAATAAATAAAATGACTCGAAACTCCGTAATACGAATTTAATTTCGGAGCCCAGTTTTATATTGTTTATCACTCTCAGTGGCGTACTCGTTATATATATATATAGGAAAATAATGGGCAAAATTCGCAAAAACAAGGAAAGTGGATTCGAGCAGAAAATAGGATAGGTAACCCGAGCGATACGTATTTCTGCTTGTTGGCTTCATCAGGCCCGAAATGAATGCACATATGTAACTACAAAAGTAGTTCACACTGCCCATACATCCGGATACGGGTGTAACCTGAGGAAACGAAGATGGAGAAGAAAAAAACAGACACCACGTAGTCCACAACAAGAGCCAACCTACACATTGTAGTATAAATGGCTAGAAGAACCTCGAATTTACACCCGTAACCGTTGTGTGTTTTTTTCCTCTCCATTTTCGTTTCCTCAGGTTACACCCGTATCCGGATGTATGGGCATGTGTATCTACTTTTGTAGTTACATATGTACATTCGTTCGGGCCTGATGAAGCCAACCAGCAGAAATGCGTATCGCTCGGGTTACATATCCTATTTTCTGCTCGAATCCACTTTCCTTCTTTAGCGGATTTTGCCCATTATTTCCTATTTTTTTGGTTATTATACCTTTCTCCGCATTATCACTTTCTCTTTGTATATATATATATATATGTTTGAACAGAATGTGTTGGAAATGCTGCAGACGACTTTTAAAACGCTTGTTTATAATGAGAACGCCATTACAGTCAAATTAGAATTTAGAATGTACGAAAAAACTACTGTTCAATAGTGAGACAAATTTGTCTGCTTAACGTACTTTTTTGAGATTGAAATTAAATTGTTAGCCATAATATTGTGAGAGTAACAAATTCACTGCGTCAGTTCTTCGTTATAGATCAGGAATAGATCATTTTTTCCTACAATTATTGCAACAGTATTTTTTTATTGTTATCATTAGATTATTGCATCCTAATCATAAGTTTAAATTGACGTTATGATGGGGCTGTTGCATTTGGCGCCATTTTGATAAGCGCGCTTGATCGAAAATTACGATCGTATGTGAGAAATAGAAACAATTTTGTAGGGAATTTCGTTCATTTTACTTGCCGAAACAGTCAACATCTCACGAGTAGTTCAAGGGTAAGAATATACTCAGTGACATTATCCAGAAAAAATAATTTCTTTACCTTTTTTTTTGGCAACTTAATGACGATATTTAATGCATGCTGTGGCAACAATGTCGAAGTTTTATCTTTGGTGTTGTCTATCTTGTTCGAATGTTACCTCTTATTAAGAAAGCAGTTTCTGACTGCTGAGTAGTACACATATTTTTAGTTAGTGCCTATCGAGATTTTGGTTTGTCCTATCGCGAAATTGGCGCCGTTGCTAATTGTACTGCAATGACGGTAAGGCGTGTGTGTCGTGTGTGGATAGAAGAAGGCCAACTGGTCCACCGGGGTGTACCGAAGAAGGTCAATATAGGCGCTTTCAGACAACTAATACGCGTCAGATAGCTTGCCAATGGACATACCTGTTACTATGCGTACACTCTATCGCCGCATTAAGCTTTTGGACTTGTTTCATACCGTCCACGGTACTACTGCTTCCTCTGACTGCGGACCACTGTCGCCAACATTTGAACTGGAGCAGAGAACGGCAAGATTGGGAGGCAGAATGGCATAATGTCATCTCAGCGACTAATCGCGATTCTGTCTGGGTACGCACGATGTTCGTAGAAGGGTAAGACCCAGCCCTGTACACAGGACTGTTGGAGTAATGGTTTGGGGGGCAATTGCCTATGGTAGCCGATCACCCCTTCTCTTTGTTCAAGGCAATATGACTGCTGTCCTACAAATGACTGTACTGCCGTATCTAGAGGGACATCCGCACATCCTTTTCAGCAAGGCAACGCACGTCCCCGCATTAGAAAAAATCCTAATTGGCACATTCCTAGAGCAATGTCGTAGTTATGGATTTGATACGAGCACTTTCAAGATCCTATTGATACTCCGCGAGTATACTCCAGAACGTCACCGTCATCCTCGATCTTTCTTTCCATCTAAACTGCATATGTTTGTTTAAACCGTACAAAAGCCGTCTGGTTGAGCACAGTTTAAGCCCTAGACAGCCCCAAATGTTGCAATTTTGTATGTTTTTTAATCGAACAGCGAAAATGGACACTGAGTATTTTTTTCCAATATCTTTATTACGTTTTCGGTGTTGTTTTGCCGCAAATCAGCTTTGGTATTGCAAACGTAGTTGACACTGAACAGGAAAGTCCCGTCTTTCAGGACACCCTGTAGAATCTTTTTATGTAGTTCCTGCTCTAGAAATAATATCATTGTCTTCTGAATCACTGTACAGAAGATAAGTAGGTATTTGATGATTAGTTGCTGGCGCTTGTAAACTATTTTATTCCATATTACTCTTCAAGACAGTAGATAGAAGCTTTATTTATACTTTTCTTAATTTCCAGGTTCTTGACAGGCCAATAGCCCTACCGAATCTCAGCTCCCGACCAGTAGTGCCTATCTATAACTCCAGAGATTTTAAGCAAGGCGGCTTCTTTTCAAAGATCTCACATAGACCCGATAACGACAACGGAGTAGAGATCCAAAAAAGTGTCAACGTTGCTGATTTTGTAGCATCATAGAGCATCCTATAAATGTAGTCCAAAGTCCTATCGTAGAGGTTGTCTGTCAAAGAAGAACGTGGTATTGATGATGAGTATCAAGAGAGTACAAATACTAACATTAGGGAAGATAATAAAAACTCCTATAATGGAGGACCACCAGTAAACGGTCTTAGCGAAAACAGAGGGGAGAACATCAAGGACATCATTCAACAGAAAGGTGATCAAGTAAAGCTCAGTGAGCATCCAATAGTTGTGGACGATATCCATACAGCCGCAAGCGATAGAGTCAACAGAACAGTTGAAAACTCAACAACACCTGTTAAACGTACAAATGAGAAATATTTAGCTGTTGCTTCTTTAGACGGCAATAGTATAGAACCTCAAAAACCTAATAACGACGATATTGATATAAACGCAGAATTTATCAAAAAGCTTTTAATCGAGCAGGGCATAGTCCAAAATCCAACACAGCAGGTGCTGGAGATACAAAAAGTTTCACAAACGCAACGTACTACTAACGCAAATAACACTTTCACTCCCCCTACAATTGATTATGGCAAGTGGGAGCCGAGCGTGGATAAGAGCTCAATACAACGTCCATGACCCCACCACCTGCTAACGTTAAGTCTACTTGGTTACATCCTGTGCAGACTATTAACGATGCCAAACCTCTACAAATCATTGTACCTTACATTAAAATAGAAACAATAATCAGTACAAACCCGACTGGGTCTTTGAAGGACAATCCAAAACTTCCTCCACAACACAAAGAAGTATACACAACTCTTGTACCAGTGTATACTCCTCCAGTGTCCACAGAGGAGGTCAGTTTGGTCTAAGTTCATAGAAAGTTTTCCAGCTTCCTAAAACCAAGAGTTCCAAGCAGCAGGGTTCGAAAAAACCTACAACGGCATCTACAATGTTAAGGACCTCTTCCCAAATGACAATTGCCTTATGAAGTGATATCGTTGCAGAAGAATATCGATAATGGACACACCAAACATTTCGAACAGCCCCAATACTGGATCTCACACCACTGATCCATTACAGACGTCCTAAAACTATACCTGATGACTATTTGACAACTGCCAGAAGTCCCACATTTGATCACCAATCTGCTGAATCTTCCAAGTCAAGGTTGTGAGTCAAGATGAGGATATAGCTTCTAATGTTATACTAGATACCGAAACGACAACCGCTCAAACTACAACAAGCACCAAAAAAATTAAAACAGAAACAACGAATAGTCAATGGGACAACGCTAGGGTGACGATGTCACCGCAAACCAAAAGAAAAGGTGTACGTTGTCACACCCCAGGCTTACAGCTTGCTTGTACCTACTTCTACTCCCGCTACAGCTTGGAGTATGGCTCCTAAGGTGGAAAATGGAACTGTGAACAATGCAACCTATGATACACACAAGTTCACGATACGGGTCGAGGCGCCATCTAAGGACGGTAGGAATTTGAAGAATTCTGCTGTGAAGGTTGTCTACAGCGAATGGCCTCATGTCAGTAAGTATTATTTTCCATTTTTGACATTGTAAAATATTTCAAATGATAATTTTATATCGTCTAAATGTAGTAGACTGGTTAGCTCATCCCAAATATTGGTTAAAATCACATATCATTCGCTACACTACAGATATGATTGTTTAAAGTATTCTGATCAGTGATGCTTGCTCACTCTCTTATCGGTGGATTGCATATACAGGGTGTTGCAGAACTATGGGTCAAACCTGTAGGGGTTATTGAGTGTAAAAAGTAGAAAGCATTTCCCGAACGACAGCATCCGGGATACAAAAAGTTTATTGCTATTCATCGGCGACTCTCTAAAACCAACATGCATGATACTGATGTTGCTCAAACCGTAAGAACGGTCGAATTTGAAGAAGAGGTCCTTCAGCGAGTTGCCGACGAACCATCAAGTAGCACACGTCACGTTGCTGAGGATACGAATACGAGTAACGCTTCCGTCTGGCGGGTGCTGCATGAGCAACAACTTTATCCTTACCACTTCCAGAAAGTTCAAGGATTGACTGCATCCAATTATCATCCTAGAGTTCAATTTTGTCAATGGCTTCTTCATCAAATCGCTGCACAACCAAATTCTTTACGTTATGTTTTATGGACCGATGAAGCCTCTTTCACAAGAGACGGTATTTTTAATAGTAGGAATAGCCACGTTTGGGACAAAGAAAATCCCCATGCAATTTTTCCTAGAAAACATCAGTAACGTTGGTCTGTCAAGGTATGGGCAGGCATTGTTGATGATTATTTGATTGGGCCATACCTTCTACCGGAACGGTTAACAGGACCTATTTACCGGCGTTTCTTGGAGGAAGTTCTTCCAGAAGGTCAGCGGTTTGGGCACCGCTGGATTGCCAGAGGTGGAGCAGTTTCTTGGCCTCCTAGATCACCCGATTTAACGTCGCTAGATTTCTTCCAGTGGGGACATGTAAAGTCTTTGGTTTACGAAACTCCAGGAAAAACAGAGCAAGACTTAATTGGTCGAATTACAGCAGCATTTGAAATCATTTAAAACGAGTGTCAAATTTTTAGTCAAGTCCGCCGAAATCATGTGCGACTTTTAAGTCGTGTATTCATGTTGGAGGAAGACATTTTGAACAATTGTTGTGATGATATCATGTATAAGAGGCAAAAATCAAATGAGTCCCTATACTCAAATGTTTCTACTGTTACACTAAATAACCCCTAGAAGTTTGATCCCTTAGTTCTGAAGCACCCTGTATAAACAGTAACAGTAGGTATGTATTCGCTATAGGAATTAGTCATTAAAACATACAGTTTCCAAGTTTTCATCCAGTTCTATTCTATAAAATAACATACAGCATATAAAAAGAAGCAATACATTTGAAAAAAAGCGTCAAGTGGATTGATAGGTACCTATATAGGGGTTGTCCTTCATAGAAGTACCACGTATTTTTAGAGTCAAAGTGAGTTGAATGGACATGATTTACCACTATGCACAAGTGCTTCATTTTTCCGTTATAAGGTGTCAAAGTTTTCTTTTTAAAGCACATTTTTCCAAAAATGTTTCGAACGATGGTCCGATTTGTTGAAATTTGGAACAAATATGTTTGCGGCCTAATATTTAACTTCTACAAAAAAACCGAAAGGGTTCAAGAAGGTTGAAAAACTACCTCCACCTCTAACTATATAAATTATTTTTTATGTAAAAGATCCTTTGGCTTACTTCAGTTTTCGTCTGTTTTAGAAACAGGCCTTTTGCATAATTTTCGAGTAAAAAATATGTTTTTGGAATTGCTTCTACTTAAATTTTCTCCTCACTTGGAATGTTATTTTTTTGCGCTGTATTGCTATGTGCGGGAACGAAATGGTGGTCATATTGAACACATTTATGAAAATTCGCTGTAGTTAGATAAAGTTGTAATAAGTAATATCATGTTTGTTTATTATTCGCTAACTACACTCAAAGAATAAATAAGACGCTTAGGAATGTCTTGATGCAACTCAATTCTTCTCGAAAACTATCCAAGATGGTATGTTTTATACGAGACAAAAATGAAGTAAACAAGAAAGTCAGTCATCGGGAAAGTTGCCAAAAAAATTTTGCTGTGATTTATGTTTTTGGTGAGGGTTAGGTTTCACTCTTCTCAAACCCTTTACAGTTTTTTCGTAAGAGTCAAATATTAGAATGTCTAGCAAAACATATGTGCTCCAAATTTAATTCAAATCGGACTATCGGTTCTTAAAATATCCTAAACAAATGTGTTTTAAAATGAAAACTTTATTGCCCTCTAACGGACAAACGAAGTTCTTCTGCATGAAGGTAAATCACCCTGTATATTCTGTAACGTCCCACGTAATGTCGTCAAAGTATGTTTCGCCTTTCCAAAAATTTTTTATCAATTTCATAGCTTTCGATATTTCCAAAAGCATCATAAAATTGGTTAACACCTAGTCGTTCGAAGATATTTAGTTACATTTGAAATATAAAATCAACATTTTATGCCGTTCCTCAACTTAATGAAAACAAAAAAACAGGACACTTTATACTTGGCGTCCTACAATTGTAAGACGCCTTTATGGTCTCTTCCGATATTTAAGACCATTCCTCCTCAATTCCAACGATATCGTACTCTTAGAAGATCTGTTTTGACATTACAACCTGATTTTTTGCGCTTCTCACCAATCTTTCTGACCTCTGTGCAGTAAAATTTACATTTAATGTACGTGGTCTTCCAATCTTTAGGAGATTCAGGCATGGTATTCCCTGCTAGCAATCCGATATTGTTCGATAAATGGTTCTGCGTGAAATGTTTTCATTCTGCCAACTTGTAGATACTTTTTCGTATATTTAATTTATACGTCATCTTACAGCGAAAACTTCAAAATAAATAAATGTCAACTGACAGTAAAGTAAGTAAACCAACTTTTGTTTCCAAAGGCTACTTGGTATTATTTTGCGTTTGTTAAAATTAAAGCCAATAAGTTTTGTACCAAAGCTTTTCTCTTGATTGGTGCTCGCCGCCCTAATTGATGTGAAATGCAATCCTTATCAAATGCCAGGTGCGAGGTTAACTATATAGTTAATAAGAATAAATACATTGGAGTAACACTCAGCATACTCAATATTCACCAAATATTTTGTTAGTAAAACACTAATACTGCTTCAGAGGTGTAGTGTGCGAAATTCTGACTGATAGAAAATTATTTGCGGCACTAACTTTTCTGAAACATTTGCTATATATTCAAATTAGATGTTTAGTTGTCTCCTGTAGAAAATTTCGTCAGAGCAGTGCTATGGAAAAATTGGTAAATGTATTTTTCAGGTATTATCCAGAAATGTGTTTATAAACGGACTCTAAAGCTTGTCGTCGCCGTATGACATGTCTCGAATAAGGGCGGTTATTCATTTAATTTCACTTCTCTATAATACTTGACCTTGAGAAGGTGTAAGTAAAAATCAATATTATAGAAACAGATCCATCATGTGAATATCAATTAACAATAAACTCCTCATACCCAATGAGCTTCCCACTGAAGACGAGAACCGTCATCATTTTGATTGATATTTATTATTGTTAATACACCTGAAGAAAGTTAGTTTTGACCCGACTTGCTCGTTAGACAAACAGATGCCAATTACCCGAAGGAATCTTCAACGAATTTTCACTTTTTAATTGCCTTAACTACCTTTAATGACACTTGCTTCATTTGCTGTCGTCAAAGGTGCTACTGGCGTCTTCTCCGGTTCATGTCCCATATAGCAGCTTAACTGGTCGTTAAATAAAGATAACTTATGGAGAATGTTCCACTCTCCCGAAAAAAGTATTGCCCATTTACGCAGGGAAAATTACTATTTAGTATATCAACATGTTGTAAAAATACGCTCAGGTTAAAAATAAACGCAACAAGCAAAATGTGGTCAGACTGGTAACGTCAGTATTTTTTACCCGATTTCATTGATTACTACGGCAGGTGGTTGGTACACTCATTGGCTTTATTGTGTGAATATGAGTTCTTGATTGTACAGGGTAAACTAAAATGATGTTTCATTACCCCGACTTTGAGTTGCTCTGAGTGACTTCAGTTGCCAATCAAACCGCAATGATTTCC